CTAAGTAAACCCTTTAACCTTTCTGGGCCTCAGTTTCCTTATTTATAGTGAGTTGGGGATGTGGTTCCTAAGTTTGTTCAATGTTCAACATCACTGATCTGTTAGTATCCTTCTGCCAGTGGACCACAGCATAACGAACACGTATAACATTCCATAGTTCACATGCTGTAATGTTGCTGGGTGCTGCCGCCTTCCACTGGACTTGAAGTTTCCAAGTTCAGAAACCAATTTCTGTCTAACATGAAAGTTGGTAGGTTACCACTGGCATTTTGCCTTTTCTATGCAGAAGGGACTTTTCTAAGAGTAATCAAAATAAGATTTTTAAAAAATCGGAGGTGGAAATGAGAGAAGATAAACTCTCATCTTGGTTTAAAAGTTATGTTATGTGATTTCTGCATTGCTGAAGAAGGGTAAATGTCACATGTCTCAAGAAGCTGCCAAGAGATATGCCAGCACAAAGCTTCTGTAGCCTTTACACACGCTTCAGTGAGAGCATGTGGGGGATGTAAGTGAAGCTTCATGCTGCCTAAGTGATCCAGCCTCACACCACAAACTGGGGTAGCCAGCGGCAAGTGGGGACTGTCACTGCTAAAGTTAGTTTTCAAAGACACAACCAATTTCACATTAATTGAAATCAAAACTTTTCACTGAAAATTTAAATTACCAAATATGTACTGAGAGTCTGCTGTGTTCAAGATGAAACAAACACGCAAATTCTCTAGGCACTGTATCTCTACAGATATTTGCTTCCCTGTTTTCATTTATGTGGGCCCCAAAAATGAGTTCATCTGGCACGGAATTCTGCCTTGTACATTTGTTCTGTAGTAACTAGAGGAAGCTGTAACTTCTTGGTAGTGAGATGAGTGACAATTAAGTATTACTGTTCTCCTTTACATTTTTAAGAGCCATTCCAATTAATTTTTAAAATATTGTTGAGTGTTTGGAAAGTTTTAGGACTAATTCTTTCACAAGTAATTTTCCACACATGCCCCTATATGGTAATAATACTTTGCTGTATGGTAATACTAGTGAGATTCAATTTCAGAAAAGCCTGTGCTATGCGGCATATTTTTAGGAGTGTTCACAAGTACTGCTGATAGCCAGAGAAGCCAAGGGGTTGGTAGAGCTGACAGATTAAGCAGGAGACAAACCGGACTTGCAGATACAAGAGCATGACTAATCCGAGATGACCTTACATTCATGTGGCTGTCTGAGATCAGAAGAACATTGTGTAATTTGAGTGTTCAGTGTGAATAAAAGCCATGATAAACCTACTGTGATTTGATTATTCAGTGATACACCTCAGACTAGATCATTTAGGACTCAAGTTTCACATTATGAACTGTATGCTTTAAAAATTCTTTTATGTTTTTAAAAACTTAAAGTTTATTATGTTACTGTATATAAAGAGTAGACATTATTGTTCCTATTACACTGTTTTACTAGGTTTATGATTTTTACCCCTTGCATCTTTTTCCAGAGATTTTTTTTTTTTTTTTTTTTGCTGTAGCAGGAATAGGAAAGACAACCAATGTGCATTTTGTGTGGATTGGGATAGGTCATCTGAATAGAGCAGAAGGGAAAGTGGAATTAGGGCAACACAGAAATAAAAGCCAAATTTATTTAATAGTTGGCCAGTGTCTTGATTTTTATGGGTCTTTGACTTCAAAAGACTGCCTACATTCTCTGGAATTCGTACAGTGTGATTACAGACATTACAGTTTCTGATTTTAGATCAGCCAACAAGAATTTACATCCATTTCTTTTGCCTCAGTCCATCAGTCCATCTGCTTAGTCACTGGGATAGCCAACCAACATTTACTGAGGCCCAGGTAAATCCAAGGTAAACATTGGCCAATACTGAGATTATAGAAGCAAAATATAGTTACTGTTTTTAAAGAACCTGGAGTTCATGTAGATGAGGTGTTTACTCCCTTTCTCAGGATTTAAGGTGATAGTGTAAGGACATAATCAGATGCTGAGTGATTTCGATCCTTTCATAAGGTCAAATTTGACACACACAATTCATGGGGAAGAGAGCGGCATCATCCTCACACTCCAGGTTGTGTCTCTGATTTCACGTTGAGCTTGCCTGACCACACCCTGAGGTATGTGGATGCTTTTTTAGGTTAATGGCTCCCATAGGAAATGACAATATTTTTATGCCACACCAAGGTAAATGGATAAGGCAACCTGTAGCCAGATACCAGCCTCAGGGGTTCTGCACCCCACCTTGTGTGGCATCCAGACGGGTGAGGAGAAGCAGTATCTCTACACACCTGTGATTCTTCTACAGCACACCAGTGCACTGTCAGATGTGTTGCAGCCTATACAACTGTGCAACATTAACCCCAGGCTGTGTCTTATTTGCTGAAGCAGGGCCCCCCTAATTTTATTTTCATGACCAGTTTAAGCATGTTAATTAGAGGGTCTACATGATTTGTTTTTGTAAGAGAATATATAGAGTTTGCAGCATTCCAAAGAAAATTATTGGAGGTAAAAAGTACTACAGGTTGGAAACAGCTTTTTATAATGAAAATAGACTGGCTCAGGAATTAGTAGTCCTCAACTTCTGACTTGCTCATTTTTGGAAAATCACTTCTCTCTAAACTTCAATTTCCTTACCTTTAAAATGAGAGGGATTGACCAAGATGAACTTTAAACTGCCCTCTAGCTCTAATATACCATCATTTTGTGCTGCCTATAAACCTCTGCTGTTGTGTCAACTGCTTTGTGCTGTTTGCTGTGTGCTAGGCACTTAGTAAATGGTTTCCTGCACACCCTAGGGCCAGCTTCATGGAGTTCCGAGGTCTAAGGTAACTGCTTAGGTGATAGAGGAATTGAAATCAAACTAAGATGCTTAATAAAGAAAAGAGAATTGACACTGAAGAGCATGTCTAAAAGGAACGAAGCAAACTATAATAAAGGCCTTTGGTGTCTTTTGAAATGTACTCAGATGGTAGGCATTGCAGTTCAGAATTTTCCAAGTAGCTACACACCTCAGTTAAAGTTGGCAACTTTGCAACCTTAACATCTTAGGATAAATGTTTCTAACTTGCGTTTCTAGAAGTACTTATTGCAAGAACATCAGCTATCTAAGCATATATATAAAAATCAAATCTTGATTATTCAACTTCGTAGAAGAAAAGTTAGTCTTCAGAATCCCATTAGGAAACTCCCTGTCTTTTTTGGTAGTTGTCTAAGCCCTTTCTGTCTGGTACGTGTCGGGTGGATGAGGTTGCCTGGCTGGAGAGCAGTGAAGAAGGCCAGTGGTAATGCTGTGTTATCAAGGACTGGCTGCATTGTGGTGACAGTCATTTGCCCTGATTATCTGTTCATTCCATGAATGTTTTATTATTTATTTACCCTATGTCAGAAATTTTCAAGAAGCTAGAAATTCAAGCCTGAGAGGTTCCTAGTATAGTCAAACTCAGACAAACAAATATACATAATAGAGTGTTAATCAGTATAAGAAGTTTTAATAAACATATTAGTAACTAATATGTTTGTTTGTTATGTTCAAAACACATAAATTTTCCTAACCTTCATGTTTGCTATTAACAAAAAAAGTGGTGTGTTGATTACATTTAAAAAGGACAAAACTACATCATGTAATCGCATATCAGAAAATACTTCTAAGGGCATAAAAATTCACTCAGTAATGTATCCTTAAGGACCATGATGTTTCATATCCAAACACAAGAGGCTGTATGACACACATGTGTGTATATATATGTATATAATACATAATGCACATGTGTGCGTAATATTTACTCATATGTGCTCAAAAAGGATACTTGAACTGTGGGGCAAATAAACAGGAGTCCGGGGTTGTGTCAGCACTTGTATGTGTTTGTGAGTACGTATGGGCAGATTGGCAAGGAAGAAGGGAGAGAGGCAGGGAGACAAGGAAGAGAGAGAAGGGAAAAAATAGTGGTCTTAGAGGGAGCCACAGTAGTTAGTAAATTTTAACTTACCTCCCACTACCCCATCTAAACTGTTCTGTATTGAGCTGAAACTAGTGTACCATTATTCATTCTATCAACTGACATATCATTGGAATTAAGTTGATCACTCCCCCAGATCAAACAAAATGGAAAACAGAATAATTTTAGTTTAAAAAATATCTGCAGATGTTGTAAGTGGTGCTTATGTACTCTAACAACTGTGATAAAGAAAATTTGCTGAAAGTTCTTCCCAAGCAGAAAAAAATGTAACATCTCAGGGAATTTTTTCCTTTACTGGCCAGAAATTCATTCCAAGAAGTACCAGCCTGTCTCATTTCAAAATGCTTCCCTTGCCAAGGAAGCGGAAGCGGTTGTAGTCGTTCCCACCAAACTGTGGGTGAATTATAATTATCCTGCCTCATGTGGGACAATGGAGCAGCAAACATCTGCTGCCCCGAATCCAAAACCCATGGGGGAAGCTCTACCAAACTGTGAATCATACCTGGACTCAGATGAAAGGATTTGTGTTGTGTTTACCTTTGTCTTTATTTTCTTTGCAATTTAAAGTATGGATTTGTTAGCTCTGGCTCCATGTTCTAACTGAAGGGAAATGTATGGAACATATTGGGCGACTCCTCTTTAATATTTAAAAATCCCAGCTTTGGGGCAGATGGACAGTAATTGTTAGTAGCAGTTTTTCTGTTTGATTTGTTATTGTCTCCTCATAGTTGTTGTTTTTTTTTTAGAGGATGGTACAGTTAAGAAAATGTAGAAGTGCTCAGTCTGAGAAGTGAAATCCTTTAGTTATTCTGCAGTAATGACAGTATAGAGGAGCAGAAAATGGTATTACAAACTTTATTTCCAAAAGAAACAACCTTCAAAACCACTGTTACTTACAATTTTATGTATCATGGTATTTTTGGTAGTACCGATCAGTTCACCTAGAGAAAGGAAAGGAAAATAGAACTTCAATTGTCAGTTTTATCTGTAAAAACATATAATAGTCTACTTGCTTTAAAAATATTTTTGTGCCTTTTTATTTTTATCTATTAGAGAGCAGAAAGACAAACTCGAATTATGGATTCAGCTCAATATGCAGAATTCTGTGAAAGTCGACAACTAAGTTTCTGTAAGTAAGCATTTAACTTGCTTCATTATATGTTTAGGAGATTATGTGTTACAGATATAGTAAACTATGACACAATCTCTGTTTCTTAGAAATTGGTGAATTTAATATATGCATAGTTATAACTGCTACAGAAACAGTCTCTGCATTGTTGAGGAGCCTATAAAAGATTTTACCCCACTCTCCTGTTTCACAGTTAATAGTAGTAAGGGTTTTAAAGGATGTCAGTAATACACAGACAGCCATGTTCATTAATCACATAACTTTTAGTCAGAAAAGTTCCATTTTTCTTAATATTCCCATTTTAACTTCTAGTTTCTTAGTCACATTTACACTGGTATTACAGATTGTGCTTGACCCATAATGGACTCTCTTGATATAGTCATGACATTTAAAAGCCCCTAATATGTATTAATAATAAGTACCAAATTTTTCATTTATTTATGCATACTCATATTACCACAGAGATACATACGAAGAATTTCTTCCATCTTTGTTCTGTAACTGTTAGCCAAACTCATTAGGCCGTGCTTCTGGAACACTGGAGGGGAGGTCAGCGCCGCCCCACCATGGCACACAGGCTCACTGAAAAGTACAGTGAGGTTCACCATAAATAGTGGGCCCAATTGTGTAGCAAAACACCCTTCCAGCACCAGTTCAGTGATGACTAAGCCTCTCAGGGTGAAGGTCAAAGAGTAAGTGTGATGCGAAGTCCAGTCAAAGGTCTGACAAAGCCGCACGTGGCCGTCTGAGGAGCTGTGGGCACAATGGTGTCTTTGCACAAGAGGCTGTTCTGTGGTCACGGTGACAACGCATTCCATTGGGAAAAGACAATGAGAGCTTCATTTATGGATCATAAAGTGCAAATAAATGACACATTTCAAACAGCACCACATGTAAATGTCAGTAAAATATAGGAAAACATGTTTTGGAAGATTTTTTCCCAACTAAATATACTTTGCAGTCTGACTAACAATTTGGCATCATACATCTGTGAAGCATTAAGTAAATGACACTTCGGATCATGGCAATTTCAGCAAATGAGGGGTTTTTGTATTGTAAATTTTAGGTTTAAAAATGGCTTTCAGGTCTTTTATAAGGAAAAATCTCCAGTTTATAAGGTAACATTTAGTGTTATTGAACTATTTTTTAAAATCATATTTTGAATTTAATTCACTTAAAGGAACAGAAGTGCTATTTCACAGTCATTGAAGTGTTCTAATACACCATTTGTTTGAAAGTCAGGTTTTTAATAACTCCATTTGTTTGTAACTCTGTAATAAACTGTAGCAGATTAAAAATTAATATTTTCCCCTTTTTATAAAATAATAGTGGTGTGAATAGTATATTATGCTTACTTTTTTTTTCTTTTAAGAAGAGTCAGCAGGGCATTTAAAAATATTTCTTTGTATGGAACCCATGGGTGCATCATTATAAAACTGTAGTGGAAGAATTTGTTTTATGTGCCAACATGCTGTGGTTGGTAATGCTTAATGCAAGTGGGTGAGCAAATTCAGAACTGATACCTACGCTGGTCAGAGTGTTAGGCTCTTTTCATTCCTGCCCTTCAGATAAACTACCAGCACAACTGGAACTGTGGTAGCTATGCCATCTTAAATAGTTGATCATAGCGTTCACACATTGGGATTCCTGGTGCATTTTAAAATAACAAGTCTACAACTTTATAGGCTGAGGGTAAGTTATAGAATCCAGACACTGGTCAGATTTACCAGTCTTTTGTTTTTATATTTATGTCAGTCGTTTCCCTGAAAGTTTTTTTAAAATCTGAAAATAGTATTAACTGCAAAGATTTAATTTAGTTATAATTTGGCCAGTCTTTTTCCAGTTTTTTCCTTTCAGACTTTTGTTTAATATGCGAATTTTGTAAACAAATATCTAGGTTTTGTTTTTAATCAACCTGAGAGTGTCCTTGTATTTTAATTGATGAATTTACTTTACATGTATTTAATTAGGTATCTGGGTTTATATACACTATCTTATTTTGTGTTTTAAATTTACTATGCCTTTTTTTTTGCTTTTCTTTCTTTTCTGTTGAATTAATTTGTTTATTCCATTTTCCTCAACAATTTGTGTATTATGTATTCTATTTCTATTATTTTAGTTGCTATCCATAGTTTTTTAATAGACACCCCCAACTTAGATTTTTTAAAGTTGATAAGTATGTAAACTTGCCTTCTTCTCAGCCTAATTCTGTTTTATCCAAGGTTCTATAGTAGTTAAATCATTCATATTTTTGTGTCTTAAAAATGCCTTTATTTTGCCCTCATATTTCAATGTTAGTTTAGTTGAGTAGAGAATTACTGACCAGTAGTCTGTAATGAGTTGAAACATAATTTCATTGTCTTTTAGGCTCTGTTGTTGGTAAGAGTTCCACTATATACTTGTTCTATATTTTCCCTGTGGGAACAGCTGAGAGAATGAAGATACATGGCCTCCAGGCCCTCTGGTGTATGGGGAAATGAACAGGCTGGCGATCAGTAGCTGACCAATGGATAGGTATAGAAGGAAAGAAAACCTCTACTGTGAGAGGTCCCAGGGAAAACCGTGCCCTCTAAGGAAGGCTATTCTCGAATAACTCCGAGAGCAGTGATTTTGAAGAGGTTGCAGTTGCAGAAGAATTTCTCCAGAGTGGACCAGGCAGTACAGAGGCTCTGAGAGGAGGATCGGGAATGGGAAGACTGATGAGAAAGGGATGAGTTAGAATAATAGAGTATTATTCAGGGAGGACAGGACAGAAAGTTGGGAGAAACTGGAATTTTGCTAGTGATTGTTGATGAGAAAGATTTAAAAATGTATGGGAATTAACAGACTTGAAATTTTTACGTGAAATTATTATTCTGCATGGGCCGAAGACCTGGGTAGAATGAGAAAGCTGATAATCCTAAGAACTTTGACCTTTCTTCAGGATTCTGTTTAAATTGTCGGTCAGTGTCCAGGCTTACCTGCTCTCCTGATGTTTTGAGAAGAGGGATGAAGGGGAAGAAGGAACTCCTTTATCCTGATGCCCCCTCACTTCTTGATGGAAACACACTACCATGACTCAGGCTATCCGTACCTTCTTTTCTGGAACCAAAACACTCTGAAAGGTTCCATCTCTGGAGCAGACCTGCTGCAGGCGGCAGGGAGAGAATTTAGCTCAGGCAGTCTTCACCTGTTGTTGGACTAGCAGTAGCCCAGGTCAGTTAATGGGACCTCTGTGCCTCTTCTTGATGCATAAAAAAAGTTTGGAGCCTAACCTTCTATTAAAGAAATATCTGTTATTTGTTCATTCTTTTATTCATTTCTTCCAGAAATATTTATCATGAGTCTGCTAATGCCAAGCACTGTTCTGGGTGCTGGGGATACAATGGTGAACACAGCAGTCTTGTCCCTGTGTTCTTAGTGCTTGAAATCTACTGAGAGAGCTGCTTAAGTGAACAGGCCTGATGGAGCACTAAGAGCTAGCCTTGCTCCCACTTTTAAAATAAATTGTTTAGAGCATAGTCACAAAGTATCTGTTTCTGTGTTCCTAACAGTCTGTCAAAAGGAGAAATGAGTAAGGTACATTTTATTGATCTTGCCAAATTGCTGCCTGTTAACTTGAACTTCAGAAGTATTCCACAGATGTTAAACAAGTGTTTGTGAGCTATTGCAGCTTACTAGTTAGATGGAATGTTGCATGTCAGAGAGTATTTGGAAGACTGGTTACTTCAGGGAGATGGCTTTCAGGGGGATTATCATAATTCTGCCATAGTTGACAACTTTGGATACGTGCTTCAATAGCAGGACTTAAGGCCTTCTGTGATTTATTGAGAAGAAAACTCTTCTGTATGTGGAATCCATGAAAACTGTATCTATGAGGATCAAAACATCATGCTTTGAGTTACTGTTAAGTGTTTTATAGACCTGTGGGACCAGATTAATCAAAAGAATAATCAATGGAATTTTTTTAAAGATTATGTTATAGGCATGATACAATCTTCACTATCAATCTTTTCCCTCTAGATTACCACTTAAATTAGTAATATCTAATGAAGGCCCTATAGCTAGTTTGACTCCGAATGTTCCCTGTGTACTTGTTAGGTACACAGAGAGACATGATGTGTGATGTTTCCCCACAGAGAATTTACAATATGATTTGAGAGATTATAAGCAAACATGGAAGGATGTCTAATGATATAAGTGTTCAGTAATGTCTAGAGTGGGGAAGTATATCTTTGTCCTGTATGAATGAAGAGTGATGGGTGGGGCGGGGTGGGGTGAGGAGGGAAAGGAACAGGGCTGAACACAGACAGAATGATACATAAGGCCAGGCGACATTTTAATAGGGAGTAATAGAAAGGCAAGTTGGAGTTAGTCTGGATGGTTTTGAGAGTCAGGCTTAAGAATTTGGACATCTTTGTAACAAGGAAGATGTAACCACAGTGTTAGAGCAGTCCAGATAGCAGTTTATTCTATTTAATTCCAAATTCACAACCTTGAACTTATTCCACCAAGAGACACATTTTGAAAGGTATTATAATTTCTCTATGTTCCTTTTTTCATCACAGGTTTCTATCTTGCAGGAGTTTTTCTTTTCACAAGAATAAGTTTAAAGTTATGGCAAGCAAGTAACTCTTCCGACTATTATTATAACGTAAACTATAGTCAGTGTTTATTTAAAACTTATTCTGACACAGTGGGAAAAGAACTAAACATTAAGTGACGTAGTGTACTACATTATGTAGCATGGACACAAAATAAAGGACAGAAATGCATAAGAGATTTCCTGAGGCTAGAATATCTAGACTAATAAAACTTCAAAAACATTGCCTTTTGTATGCATTATCTTTCATATGCAATTTCAACAGACATATTTGTCTTTTTGTGATAGTAATTTGCATTATTAAAATACTTCAAAGATTAAATTTTCTATACCTGTTCTTTTTAATGACTAGCCAAAAAAGCCTCCAAATTCCGAGACTGGTTGGACTGCAGCAGTATGGAGATAAAACCCAATGTGGTTGCTATGGAAATGTTAGCATATTTAGCGTATGAAACTGTGGCACAGGTAAGAATTCTGACCTGTCATGTCAGTCTGTACATGCTGCTTTCTCCTTACCCCCGTCCACAATCCATCCTTACAGCACCTGCTTCACTCCCAGGACTGAGAGCGGCCATCAGTTTTCCCCCATACAGTCTTGAATTTTTCTGAGATTTAATTAAATTATATTTCTTTGCATCCTCAGCTCTGCTAGGTTTTAGGGTAGAAGTAACTGGTTGGTTTTTTGTTTTGTTTTTTTTTTTTCAACTTTATTGTTAACCAGAAATGAAATCCTACATATTTTTTCTCAACATTGAATTCTAGGTACACAGCTGCCAGGTTTAGAGATTATTATCTTCTAACAATGCTTTTCTGGATATGTTCAGCCTACTTGAATGGATGCAAAAATCTGAGTCCAGAATACATGCCCTCTACCAGTTTCCCAAAGCACAGTCTTCAGGCCACAGCACCAGCATCCCCTCGGTTCTTGTTTAAAATGTAAATTCCTAGATTACATTCTAGGGCAGACATGCTGAATTAGGGTATTGGTGCTTGGAGCCCAGAAATCTGTATTTTAAAATGATTCTTTGGTAGTTTTGAAATAACATTTGAGAATCACTCTGCTGGAAGGTCATAATATATCATTTCTCTTCATGGGTCGGTCTGTTTCCCAGTCAATGAAAGCATATGCTCTTGTCCACAATACAGATTTTTAGGCACACAGTATTATCAATAACTTTTGGAATGTATTGCTTTTAGCTTTGGTACTTCAGTGGCATAGATGATTGTTTCCAGCTGTGTGACTTTATTTTCCTCGCTCTGATCTAGTTGGTGGATCTGGCTCTTCTTGTGAGGCAGGACATGGCAACCAAGGCAGGAGACCCTTTCGGCCATGCCATTTCGGCTGCCTTCATCCAGTACCACAGCCCTGCAGAGGTGAGTTCCAAACAGTCCGACGTGTCTGTGCATTTTTTTCTCGTGTCCCGTATTTACATTCATGTTGCTTTGGAAAAGATTACGTAGGGATTTACCATATTTTTGCTGTGTATAATATTCACTATTTTGCCCAAATTTTTGAGGGACACACAAGGATATGCATTATACATGGGTATACTAATCCAGTGTATAATGCACACAGAACCGTGGGTGTACATTTGTACATTATACATGGCAAAATACAGTATGGCCTTTAGCCCAAAAATCTTAATACAGTCAACATTCATATATTTATTGAGAACCTACTATGTGCCGGGCCCTTACAATCCACTTAATAAAATGATATTTTTTTCATCTTTTCTTTGCCTTATTTAGCTTTTTCAGTCTTACAGTGAAAAGGGTACTTCTCATTTCCATGGGAGATGTACAACTGGTTGTGGTCATTGAATAATGTTGAAAAAAGTTACTTATTTCCTTGTCCCTCAAAGATGAGAGGATTATTGTTCATGTAATAATTCCTGATATTTATTGATAATTTTACATTTTGGTTATTGATCCACCTCTAAACATGATTGGGAGAAGCGTGGCCGCATTTACCCTTTGTGTGGATCGGCCCCGCCACCTAAAGATCACACCTCTCCAGACCCAGTTCGTGTTGCTGAGACCCCTCTGGGGACTGCAGAATCTTCTTACCAACCTTAGGGCCTTATGTAACTTCAGCATAAAAAATATTCTCTGGAAACCACATGTGCCTAAAAACCAGAAATGTGATATCATCTATTGAATTAATTTGCCAGTATGAGACCTTTTTTACTAATAGTTTCACATAATTCAATCTAATATCATAGAGAATGCATCAGGGAAGTGAGGTTAGTATCTTCATGTGAAATTGTGAAGTGAGCTATAGATCACGTTGGGTGAAACATACGACCTAAAAATGGACAAGGCCCTTAGAAAATTTGGTGAAAACTATAAACCCTTTCCCCATAAACACATTTGTAAATTTTGCACACAATTTCAGGGTGTTCAAAGACCCTCTGAAATCATTCTGGGGATCTAAGGGATCTGTGAACCGGTGGACTCCAGATTTAAGTGATTCTGCTCTGGGCTGCTCAGTAACTTTATAAAGATACATGCCTCCGTGGCATGTTATTACAAGCCAAAAACCTGACATCTTTTTATACCCCTTAAAGAATCAGATTGGTTTAGAATCCAAGTAGGAATTAATATGTTTATGCCTATTAAAAAATCCATTTTTTCTTGGAAAAGGTCCTACATCATTATCAGTCAGCATACTTTATAAGTCCCTAAAGATTACTCAGTTGATTAAGCACTATTTGTTTATGTTATGAACTCAAATTATGATATCAAAGAACACCCTTTAAAATGTCTTTGATACATGTTTACTTTATGAATATGAGTATGCCTTTCATTGACATCAGACAAATTTGTTGTAACATTTCTAATTGAAGAAATGTAGGTGAACATAACAAGCCTAGTTTCTGTGAACATTCAAGGGACTGTTCGCATGGCTACGAAAACTCTTTATTTCCCTCCCCCCTTTCTTGGCTCTCCAGGGTGGCCAGGCTGCCCTGGGCAACTGCTCAGCAACCACAGCCGCTGTTCCCAGCTACCCAGCAGTTAGAAAAATGGTCTGTCTATGTGTGCTGGGTTTCCTGGGCTCTCTGAGAGGTGGGAGCATGAGTGTCAGAAAGCATCCTGACTAAATATGTTGGTACAAGCCTCAGGGTATTCCCCGGCTGCCAGACACCACTCCTCCTGTGTGACTGGTAGTCAAAATGAGCATTCAGAGGGACTGGAAGTGTTCCTGCCCTTTATTACCTGCTGAACAGGAAGAGGATGGCCATTCTAAAATGGGAGTCTTACTCATCGCCATTACAAACCAGCGACCAACGTCAGGGGCCTTCTTTAAGGAGTTCACCAACTTGGGTGCAAGGGGGAACTCGGGAGACCGATAAGATCTCTCTTCAGGGAGGTAAAACAAACAAGGTAATACATGAGCAAGCAAGCAAGCAAATAGTTCAAAATAGCATTTACTAATTTCCAAATGAGTGGCATAGACAGAGTGCAAAATCCTAATTACAATCGAAAAAAGACTTCAAAGGGGAAGCTGGATGTTGAAGGAGAGGTAGGATTTTGATGAGACAGTAAAACAGGAGAATACTCGGCATCAGAGGCACCATCATGCATCATGTCAGACTAGCTTTTTCCGTCCTGTTTGATAATATTTCTATGCAAGTAGATCAAAGAAATACTCTTGAAAGCAATATCTGAATTTCAGCAAAACATTTTACAAAGTCGGGCATAATTGTTTTTAAAAAATTATGGAGAAGTGTAGGCCAGTAGATAGGATGGTTAGGATGTGGTGGGATGACATAGAGTATTAGTACTGTTATGTGAAAAACACAGGCTTATATCTGCCTGTAAATTTCCTAGGCACTGGTACTGTGATGTTACAGTAAGGAAACTTCTTTGTTTTAGTGGTTAGGCACTATGTTATAGGATGGGGGTTGTCTAAAGGAGAGTGAACAGAGGGGAGGAATCTGAAAACATGTATAAGTGGCTCAAGGAACTGAGCTGTTTGACTTGTAGAAAAGGTATGAAATGTAACAATCTTCAAATATTTGAAGTGTTTTTGCATGGAAAAGAGAATAGACTTATAGTCATAGCCAAAGAAACCAGGTAGATTTCAGGGATTTAATGAAGGAAGGAAGGAATTAAATGTGGGAGGAACTGGAGGCATGCACAGTGACCCTAAGATGTAAGTTTTTTGTTACCAGGAGAAGGCTGGTCATCATGGATATAAAAATGCCCAGAGGCATCCAGCCTAGGGGTGCAGTTTAGAAGTTCTTTTTGAAACATGTAAGATTGAAATGCTAATAAAACTTCTAAGTAGAAATGTCTGTACCTGACAAAATCTACAGAAATTTTGGAGGCTGTATCTGAGGATTCCTAATTATATCTAAATGATTAGACAGATTAAAAATTAACATATTTAGCCCTGGCTGGTGTGGCTCAGTGGATTGAGTGCCAGCCTACAAACCAAAGGGTCTCAGGTTCAATTCCCAGTCAGGGTACATGCCTGGGTTGCAGACCAGGTCCCCATTAGGGCACTGAAAAGACAGCCACACATTGATGTTTCTCTCCCTCTCTTTCTCCTTCCCTTCTTCCTCTCTAAAAAATAAATAAATAAAAATCATTCAAAAAATAAAATAAAAATTAACATATTTATACCCCTAGAGGCAAGGTGGAGGCATCATTTCAGTCAATAGGGTAATAATAAATTGTTTTTATATTTGTAACCTTCAAATAGTATTAAGTTCATGAGACACTAAATAAAATCAAATATTAGAAGTTCTGGTCACGTGATTTCAAAGCCGTGTCTCTTTGATCAGGGATCTTGCATAAAGCCTTACCTGGACTCTCCTGAGAATACGCCCCCTCCCACACCAACGGCTCCATCATCTGGACCGCAGCACTCAGGGAAGACCACATCAGTATCCCTCGGGAATGGGAGCGCTGGGCAAGACTCAGCGAAAACCAAGCAAAGGAAAAGAAAAAAGGTCAGTGATTTCTTCCTTCTCTCTCTCCCTCTCTCAGAGTAAAGAAGGTCTCGTTGTGTTCTTTTTAGAGATAGAGGAAACATACTCTGTTTTTCCCATAATTCAAATTTTTAGAAGCAGCCAGTTTTTACTTACCCATACTTAATGACTTCTGCTCAAACTTTAACCACTTTCTAATGTATAAAAGAAGATACTGAATTTTTTAACATTTTATTTTAAATTTTCAAACATACAAAAGTTAAAAGACTTGTAGATTCTACAATTAACATTTTACTATATGTACTTTGTTAACTATGTATTTACATTTACTCTGTCTATGCATCATACTGTTTTTCTATCCATGCGTTCTTTTTTTTTTTTGATACATTGTGAAGAGAGCTGCAGACATCAGTGTACTTCAGGCCTAAATGCTTCATTATGTATAATTTGTTTGTGGGTTTTTTCAAAGGTGAAATTTATACTACACAGTGAACCATTCAATTCTTAAATATACCACTTGATGAATTTTGACAAACATATAAACCTGTTGTTTTCTAAGCCCCTCTCAGTTCAGAAAATTTCTTCATGCCTCCTCCTGGTCAATTTTTGTCACCTTTCTTAGAACGGTGTTCTGATTTCTTTCCATCACAGATTAGTTTGTTCTGTTCCAGAACTTCATTTGGGATAGTTTTGAAATTTATGTTTTTAGTAGAAAGGTAATGTATTTCTTTGTATTGCCAAATCGTGTTCCCTTGTATGAATGTATGTTTATTCCTTCTCATTTTGGTGGACACCTCAGCTCTTTCCAGTGTTTGAGGTGTTATGAATAAACCTATTATGACCGTTATTGTGCAAGATCATGGGAAAATACTTTTGCTTCTCTTCAGTACAGAGTTAGAATGAAATGACCAGGTCATAGAGTAGGTACATGTTTGGTTTTTAAAGAAACTGCAAGAATTTCTTTCTAAAATGGTTCTGTCATTTTTATTTCCACCAGCAATATGAGCATTTCAGTAGCTCCATGTGCTCATCAGCATTTAGTGTTGTCATTGTTTCTGCTTTTCACCATTCTAGTGGATATTTAATAGTAGGTCATTATAGTTTGAGTTTGCATTTCCCTGATGACTAATGATGTGGAGCTTTTTTTTTTGTGCTGATGGCTATTTGTATATCTTCCTCAGGGAAGAGTCTTCTCAAATCCTTTACACAGTATTTTTGAGGATGGGTTAGTTGTCTTTTCTTAGTAACTTGTAGGAATTTTTTACGTATTCTGTGTAACAGTCCTATGTCAGATAAATGGTTTTTACATACTTTCTCCCAGTCTCTGGCTTAATGGTATGTTTTGATGAGCACAAATTTTGAATCTCTCAAGTTCGATTTATCCAGTTTTTTCTTTTGTTTATTGCTTTCTGTGTCCTGAGAAATCTTGGGCTACTCCCAAGTCATGATGGAAGCTTTACAGCTTAACTTCTATACTTACTTCTGTTAATCAGAGTCAGACCAACTTTTTGTGTATCATGTGAATTGGTCACTTCTTCACATATGGATATCTAAGTATTGCAGAACCATTTGTCGAAGACTCTTTTCTCCCATTGGGTGCTTTGGTGGCTTTGTTATAATCAAATGACAGCCTGTCTATGTTGATTTACTTCTGGAATTTCAGTTTTGTTTCATTGATTATTTGTCAATCCTTTTGTCAGTATCATCTTTCTTTATTATTGTAGCTTTATAGTAAGTTTTAAAGTCAGATAGAATAAGTCCTCAAACTTCATTTTTCAGGTTTAATGTGGATTCATTGTGTCCATTGTATGTATGTAAATTAGAATCAACTTGTTAGTTTCTATCAAAAAATAATGAAGCAGGGGAGAGTGACAGAAAGAGAGAGGAAGGCAGCAAAGGGAAAAAGAAAAGCCCACTAGGATTTTGAAAGGGATTAGATTGAATACTTACATCAGTTTGGGGTATGAATGTCTTAATATTACCAAGTATTACAATCTGTGAACATGGCATATCTCTCCACTTATTTATGTCTATAAAATATCTCTTTTTATCACTGAGAATACTATTTATCCTAAACTCTATTTTATCTGATTAACATAGCCATTGCAGCCTCTTTGTGCCGTTTATATGATACACGTTTTTCTATTTTCTTTCATTATCTTTCATTATCTTTCATTATCTGTATCTTTAATATTTAAATAACGTCTCTTACATAGACAACAAATAATCGGGTCTTGCATTTTTTCCCTTTCTTTCCCTGTGTATCTTTTAATTACAATCCTTAAGTCCCTGATATTTAATGTTATTTGTTGAAATGGTTGGATATAGGTCAGCTATTGTGCTCTGTTTTCTGCTTGTTCTATTTTTGTTTCTCTTTTTTTCTTCCTTCTTTTGGGTTAAGTATGTGCTTTTTTAGAAATCTGCTTTATCTACTGGTGTCTTAGTGATATCTCTTTTCATCATTTTTTTCCATGGGTTATGCTAAGAATTATAGTATGCATCCTTAAATTTTTAGTTTACTTAGAGCTGTTATTGTGCAGCTTTACTCACCTTAAACATGAGACTGCCGTATTTGTCTACTCCATCTACTTCGCTCCTGCTCTTCATGCTGTGATTGTCCAGCAGCTTACACCTACCTATGTTATAACCCGTAAGACTGCTCCTTGCCTTAAACAATTACATATATTTTAGTGAAACTAAGAGGGAAAAATAGACTCTAACATCTGCCATTTCCATTGCTTTTCATTTCTTTTGGCTTATCAGAATTCCAGTATCATTTTTCTTTTTTGTTCTACTAAACTTTATTTAGCATTTGTAATAGTGCAGGTTGGCTGGTGATAGTTTCTCTTAGTTTTCATATTTCTGAGAATACCTTTACTTCCCCCTTACTCCTGGGAGATGTTTTCACTGGATATAGAAGTCTGGATTGCCAGTTTTATTTTCAGTACTTTGATGATACCATTCCACTATTTTCTGGCATTTGTTATGTTTAATTGTATGTCGGTAGATTTTGTACTATTGTTTCTGTGTATGTAATGTGTTATTTTTCTCTGGATGCTTTCAGGATATTATCATCACATTTTATTTTCAGCAGTTTGACCATGATGTATGTATATATGGTTTGCTTTGTATTTATTCTGCTTAGAGTTTGCTTAGCTTCTTGAATATTGGTTTATGTGTTAAATAAATTTGGGGGAATTTTCAGCACTTATTTCTTCAGATATTTTGTCTGCATCATTCTTTCTATTGTCTACTTTTGAGACTCTAAGTACATATGTGTTATTTTGATACTGTTCCACAAGTACCTGAGGCTCTGTTTAACTTCTCTTGTAATCTTTTCTCTATTTTCATCAGGTTGTATAAATTCTGTTGACCTTCCTTTATCTTCCTAACTCTTCTGTCAGTGCCAGTCTACTGTTATACCCACCCAGTAATGCTTTATTTCTAATAGTTTTATATTTTCCATGTGAATTCTCTTCACAGTTTCTATCTACCAGTATTTTTATTTGTCATTTATTACAAGCTTATTTTCTTTTATGTCCTTGAGCAAAGTTATAATAGCTGCTTTAAAAATCTTGTATGATAAGTTAAATATCTGAATTATTTTAGTCTCCAGTGAGTATAAGTCACACTCTCTTAGGTTTGTTGCATGTCTAGTAATTTTGAATTATATTCTGGATATTGTGAGTAATAGATTATAGAGATTTCTGATTCTGTTATATTCCTATAAAGAGAGAAGAATTCTTATTGGTAGTGGTGTGTGTGTATGTGTGTTAAACAAGCAGTTTAGTTTCTGGGCTCAAATCTGAGCCTCAGACTCCTCTTCAGTGGCAGCAGCTAGACTTGCCCTTTACTTCATTGAGCCTCAGTGTGTTTTCTTGGATTTGGTGTCACACAGGAATGGTTCAGGAGTTAGTCAAGGGTTTGGGTAATTTATACAGATCCCTGATTCTGCCCTTGGTGGGGTTTCCTTCCTCATTTTATGTAGGTTTCCGAGCCTCTAGGTTTGTGCGCCCCCTCTAGTGACTAGAGCTTGCCTGCCCTTAGGTTAAAATGGCGAAAACAGGACACTTACCTTGTTGCCATTACACTCTTCTTACACACACCGCTTTCATTTTTTACCTAGTTTTGGTCAATCTCTTTTGTTTTCAGGTACTTGTTTTTTTTACAATTTGTCTAAAGTTTATACCTACATCTACAACTAAGTGGGTACAATAAGAACTATTTGCCATTGCAAACAGTGGAACCATGCCAAGATGTAATTTCATAATGGAGAGTAAGCAGATTTAATTTTCAGCCTCGTCTGGTTTCCCCCTTCATTTACAAAATGACGCAGCTTGCTAATTTAAGAAGGGAAAATCCCAACTATAAGGAATTTCTATGTTATAAAGTAGTTGTAAAAAAGTTCAGCTAACTCATAGTGTTAACTCATTTAGTAACTACAAGTAAGGTAACAAAATGTTACCTAAAAACTTCTCCAAGGGACTTGCTTGACAAAGTATGTAAGAAATTATAATTAACTTGGTACTTATACCTACATAAAATAATTCTTGATAAGTTTGGAAATTCTTGACATTTCTTTCTTGTAAATATTTAAACAGCTCTCTCCTGATCTTGTTGAAGCTATTAAATCAGTTATTTTACAGCAGAGGTTTCCTGAAACAAGGAAGTGTTAGCCCTGTGTGTATCTGAATTTCCTAAAATTAAAGTTACTGGCATCAAAATTAATAATGTCTTGCTTCAAAAGTATTCTTTATTTCTCTATTTACTTATACACATCTTTCTACATTTGTACAGTTTTGCTATATTTTTATTCTTACTCACTGGAAACTTCAGCTGTGTTACTGTGGTGGTACCATGGTACAATTCATTCTACATAAAATAATAAAACCTCTAGTTATATACCAGCTGTATGTACAAGAAGCCAGGAGATTTGATGTACAGCCGTATTCTGATTCTATCATAGTGATCTTGAGCACATTCCTTTTCCTTACTCTCTCATCTATTAAAAGGGGCAGGGATGGGGAAAGGTTGGAATAGGTGATATTTTTTGTGTTCCTTCCAGACTTAAGAATGTATGAATCCTTGAACGTTCAGTAATTCTCTTTTGTCTAATCTTTAAATACTATTTCTACTTTTAATTTCTCTAAAGAAAAGCTTTTCCTAGTTATATAGAACTGCAATTTTAACCATTAACATCTCAATCAAACTTTAGACTGAAAAAATTAATCGCATTACATACTATATCCTTTGGCCAAAGAATAGCCCACTTTCATCTGAAAAGAAATTCTCTCTAATCACAAAGATCTGAAAGAGTGCTATATAAAACAAGGAGGAGAAGGACGCTTGCCTGGTCAGTCAGGTTATATATCAACCTTGGTGGTCAGTGAGAGACAGAAGTATTAGTAATAGTAGTACTAACCTTCCATTTGCTCTAAGCTGTGATATGTGTTGCTCCTTTGTAAGACTTAGTATTTCAAGTGTAACAAAAGATACGGTCTACCATGGATGGGGAAAGAAATCTCAGGCAATCATCTGAGATTTGACATCCTTCTTAAACATTGGATTACCCTGGCAAGGGAAAGGCTGAACAAGAATAGGATGGTTGCACCTTGCCAACAACTTCTAAGTTGGAAAGAAAAGAGGGCATACACATTTGTAATAGATCCAATGGCAACAGAAATTTCACTTTAACTTATTGTACCACGGGTGAGAGTTCAAACTGCAGGAGATTCTGTTCAGTGCAAGCCAGTAAGGACAAGTACAGGACAGTACTCAAATCCAGGAAATATGTAAGACTTCAGCTTCCGGTACCCAGCATTGACTTCCAATGAAGAGATGTAAATAAAGATAGAATGGAGGGAGACAAGAATGGAGTATGAATGCAGCCATGAGGAAGGGGACCTGACTTATGAAGAACTTTACCATTAGCTTGTACTTTACTTAAGTCAATAAAGAGTTTAGGCCCCACAGAGATTTTGGCAACTATAGCCAACAGGAATCAGTATTTTGTCAAGTATGTGGGCTATAGTTTTGAAAATGTAAAGAATGTCCTAAAATGTCAACACAATCAGAATAGGAAACATGAATTGATACATAAATCTAATACCCTTCACATGTGTCTATAGCAGGTATAAAATTTTAAATATTAGATAACTATAAATTTAATACTAATTTTTCTGAGACAATTATGAAAAATATCACAAAAATGCTAGAGTCACTGCTAAATTAAAAATTTAAAACTTGGTTTGAATTGTGAATTCGATGCAGCTATTTGTCGGGATGGCAACAGTACCGGGAATGCATTTTAGATTCAAAGGTTCCCTTCCAAAGGGCCCAGTGGACAACCAGGAAGTGCAGGAGTGCTCACGGCGACTTCCCCCTGATGTTTACAGGTGTTCACGGAGAGCAGAATGGCAAAGCTAAAGACATTTCCACAAAATTGAATATGTTTATTTTTATATAAGTTAACTCCATCTTTGTGACACAGATAACATGGCTCAGCCAGGCTGGCAAGCTTGTTCTGATGTCGTACGATGTCATACAAACAGCAGTCACGGGCAGTTTCTAACCCACGCGTCCTACTTCAGTGTTCTCAGATCCTGTCTGACCGCCATACAGAGGCTCTAAGAGATTCTGACCAAATGCTCTATACCAAAACCAAATTTATTTGGGAAAATAGAGGACGAGTAGAACCCCCACTGGCCATGAAGAAAAATGAAACATAAATTCACTTTGCAAGGAGGAAGGAGATGCCCTGGAGGAAGGAGTGCACCCGACGGAGTTCCCGCCCCACTTAGTGCGCAGGGCACTGGCCCTCTGGATGTCTCTCTCTTTCCATTTCCACTTGAGTTTCCACTAGAAAACTTCCTTTAGACTCCAAATACAGCTAATTATTTATGTTCATTTCTGCACATAGATGGAATGCCTCAACTTCCTTCATAAGCATTTGTTACACCCAGCAGGCTAGCGAGTCTAATGTATGTGGGCACATTAGTCATATTCACATCTTGGAGCCACACGGTCTCACAGAAGTGCCTTTACCTTAATCAGGCACCTGATAGTTGCATTTATTCCAGTATATTCCAACTGAAACAAAGATGTGGAATAAGAATCAAGAAAAAACCCTGTGCACTCTTATATCAGCGCCAAAGTATGGGTTTGACCTCTGTTATTATATAACTTAATCCGTGTTATTGTGGGCATAGCAGATATGTTATTTAGGGTATTGTTGGAACGGAATTGAGAAAGATACCCGGGAGTAAATTCCTATTTGGCTTATTTCACATCTTGTTAAAATAGTAAAAATAAGATCTATTTTGTTTGAAATTTTAAATCTTATTTTAGGTTCAGCTTGGATAATTAGCCGATGCTGTTGTTTTGTAGGAATTTTTAAATTATTTTACTAGTTTGTGATAGGAAAAGTGTGCACAAAGTGCAAAAAAGAAAAAGTATATTTTAAAAGTATAGAATATACAGTGAAAAATGACTCTTCTAAGCTCCTGTTCTCCAGCCACCTATTTATACCCAGAGAGTTAAGCGTGGTCACTGTACTCTTACAGAAATACTCTTATTTATGTTCAGATGAGTATGTCACATTCAGCCCCCTGCTTTTTTTTAATGAGTGGTAACAGAGTGCCACCCTGTTGTATACCTTGTGTTATTTCACACAACATGCATGTTAGAGACAGAACATATAGAGCTCAATAGGAGCATGCATGCAACTGTGTCATCCTTTTTGGTGGTTTCTATTACACTGAACAGATGTATTATAACTTATTTCATTGTTCCCTCATGAAGAAGACTTAGTTCAACCCAGTGAATGTGTGTGTATATGTGTGTGTGTGTGTGTGTGTGTGTGTGTGTGTATATATATATATATATATATATATATAAAATTTTATAGCTGTGTAACATACCCATAGGGTAAATTCTTATATGTGAAATTACTGGATCAAAAATGATTGTTTTCTCATTTTGAAAAGATTTTGCCAAATTGCTACCCATAGAGGTTGTATTAATTATACCCCTACAAGGAATTATGAGAGTGGTAACTGTAGTAATTATCAGAAAAACAAATAATCTTCATTATGTGACTATGAATGACTTCTAGACCACAGTTACAGTAATATAAAAGCTACTATTTCTTTCTCTTGATTCTTTAGCATTATTAATCTGACATCTGGAATGCCCTGCCATTATAATTATTACCTCAGTTTCACAGATGAGGAAACTGAAGTGCGGAGATAGTATATGACTTGGAAGAGTGGGTGAGTGATAGGACATGGACCCAGGTAGCTGGGAAGCCAGAGCCTGCAACCAAACCAGGAGTCTGCAGTACTCTTGGGTGCGGTTAAAAACATTTTTAAATCATGTTATATACATTCCTTGAGTTAGTATCCATACTCTCATTACAAGTCATTTTTCTCTTTCTTATATCTTTCTGTACTCTCAAACCTACCTTTCACAGATGAAGCAGATTAAAATAGAAAGTTTTTATTTTATTTCCGTTTTTTCCTGAGGACACCTAGAAATTAGCACCACATTGAAATGATCTTTTATGACCATCCCCCATATTATAAATAAATGTATAGCAATTTTACATTTTTCATTTTAAAATTGATGATCTTTGAGTTATATCAGAAATATGTCCAACAAGCTTCAAAGAAACATTTATAATAATAAATGTTGATTTTTAAAAAATAACTGCTGCGGTTCTTCCAACAAGCCCCTGGCCCTTCACGTGCATGCAAGCTGCTGTATTCTCCTGCACCCGAGGTGAGCCTGGGTGAGATACCGTGAGCATAAAAATTGCTGTTGCTGGGTCTGCTAGGAGGCAGTGACATAAAAGTCACCTTTGATTTGTTCATGGATTTCTTTTTAGATGTGTAGTGTACGGCAGCTGTGCTGTGCATCCTAAAGGAAAGACCATCCGTTTTTATAAAAGTTTATTTTCATATTTTGTACACTGCAGTTGTGTGTTTTTGATTTAGTAACAGTTTATGTGTTTTTCTGTCACAGAGCACTGCGGCCTGTGGTGTGGAGGCTCACAGCGATGCCATCCAGCCCTGCCACATCAGAGAGGCCATCCGACGCTACGGCCACAGGATCGGCCCCCTTTCCCCATTCACAGTACGTAATAACAGAGTTATAAAAAGTTATATTTATAATCTGAAAGAATTTTGATTTTCAAGTGGTCAAATGAAGAAGCAGTGGAATTGTTGAAAGCAATTTGTGGTGACTGTAATTTTGTTGTATAAAAGTGGCATAATTCTCTTGGGAAATAAAAGTTAGTCATTTTTGTCTCTTTTTGGAAGGACAATTTTTTTCTACAAAATATTATTTTTCTTTCAATTACAAATTATGCTTTTTTGTTGCAGCTTATATTTTCTGTTTTTCAAAGCTCAGGCTTATAAAACTTCTTCGTCAAATTATATGTATCCAAATATTGCTAGAAGCACTTTATATTTTTAAATCAGTTAGATTGGCAATACCACTTCTATCAGATGTCCTGCTCCTAAACACACTCTGACTTGGAAGAAGAAGAAATGATTTCTTTACCAGCTTTGAAGTAGGCTGAAATGCAGACAGTCTTTCACATCTTCAAATGCTTTTAAAGCTTATAATCAGGGTTGTTGTTGTTGTTTTAATAGAGAATTAAAGACTATATTTCAATAGCTTGACGAAAATATATGTGTATGTGTTAATTAAATGTTCATCTTGTGGCCCTTTTTAAAATTACTTTATTCATGTTAATAGAACTATCTCCAAGTCCTTCTCTGTTTATAAGGAATTGATTTGATTTTCAGAAACTGAAGTTTGGTTTGTGACTGAGGGACAGAGAATTTACCACTTATTTCTCTTTTTTTATTTATTTCTGCTTTAATACACTGAAGCAGAACCTCTGTGTCAAACATTATACACACACACACATACACATCAGTATAACATATACAGGGTGGGGCAAGGTTTACAGTTGTGAGTACACGAAACAGTTCATTCTGGTATTATTATTACTATTTAATGGCTATTGTATTTTTTCTATATGAACAACTGTAAGCCTACTTTTGTCCCACTCTGCATACTTTAAACCAATATTTATCGAATAACTATATAACCAACATGTCTTTGAAACTAATGATGCAATTTTTAAATGCTTAATGTAAGAAGATCTGGAAAATAGAACAAATAAACCGTGACCTATAAGGTTCACTTAGCCACTGCCAGAGTAGATGGGCAAAATCAACAGTAAATGGTAAAGAACTCTACCACAGAGGGGCACCCCAGTTTGTATCACTCCTGAGAAAGGACCCGCCTTGAAAGTCTTGCTTCATTTCCTAGAGCTATAAGAATTTTCCCAGCCTACAAGACTAAATATGCATATTCCATTTTATATCATGAGTAATAGGATCAGAAAGTCAGAGTTTCAGTGTGTGTGTTTGCATGTGTGTGTGTGTGTGTGTGTGTGTGTGTGTGTACTTAGGACACTTTGCTCCTAAGCTCTGAGCTGTAGCTCCTAAGAGGAAAGGAGGCATGTGGGCTGCCTCTATATTTATCATAGATTGAAACCTAAATTTTCATACAGAAAGGCTAGGCTAACCTTCAGTGTAAAATTTCCTTTGTAAACTAAAATGCCTATGAGCAAATAGTTTATATTTATGGAACATAGAGATCTTGTCTTTGCAACATACCATTCTGAATCTAGAATGCTTGTCTGGTGTATTTTTAACTAAGACATCTAATTGATAGCATTTATAATTTGATTCATATGTAGCCAATAATTTGAAATTTGTTTGAAGAAGTAAAATAACCAGAAGGTTACACAGAAACTGAATTCCAACATCAGTCAACAAACTCATGAAATGCTTTTGGTGAGACATCATTCTGACTTATACTATATCACTTTTGAAATAATTTATACAAGATCACAACATTATGAGTTTTGAGAATACAGTTCTCTGTATAGAGAATTGTGTGTTCTTCACCTTGGAAACTAGTTGAAATAATAGAAGAAATTAATGATTAAAACCCTCTTGGGGCCCTGGCTGGTGCAGCTCAGTGGACTGAGCGCGGGCCTGTGAACCAAACAACCGCGATTCAATTCCCAGTCAGGGCACATGCCTAGGTTGCAGGCCAGTTCCCAGCAGGGGACGCCCGAGAGGCAATCACACCTTAATATTTCTCTCCCTCTCTCTCCTTCTCTTCCCCTCTCTCTAAAAATGAATAAATAAAATCTTTAAAAAAAACCCTGTTGGTTGGAGGAGAGGAAAAAATACAAACAGCGCTTTGCTCTGTGTGGCTGCTGGAGTAAGAAAGGAAAGGCGTTATGGTGTAAATATCACTTACCTGCACCTCATGTGAGTGTTGTGGAGACACTTGTACGTTCTATCTTGAGACACTCTCTATTATTATATCCATTGGACAGACGAGGAAACTAAGCCGTAGAGAGGTAAAGAAACTTCCTTAAGGCTTCTTAGCTAGTTGGTGGCAGAGTTAGGGTCTGAACCCTGGTCATTTGGTTCTAGGATCAAGTCAATCACCACACAGCATAACCTCATGCAATATCAATTACTATAAGTAAACGGACGATATAAGATACCAAGCATCAAAATCACTTAGGACATTCTAGATTGCATAAGTAGTCTAAAATAACTACTATAAATCACAGACTCTGAAGTGATTTTCAGGATTATTTAGCAAAACTAAAAGATAAGCAAAATAAAATTAATTTCTTTAAATGTTCTTTAGCATGTGTATATAGAAGATCAGGTGAGGACAGGTGCAGAAATATGTGTTTTAGAAGAAAGATTTTGGAGCTGGGAGTTGGAAGCCCTGAATTTTAGCCTTTGTTCCATCACTTAATCTAATCCATAGTTTGGCCTCCGCAAAATTACTTAAACGTCCTAGGTATGATACTTTCTCTGATCTTCTGCATAGGATTGAGACTATAGAAAAGGAAGAACTCACCAATCAAAGCCAATGTGTCACAACAGTGCAGGCAGACCTTGGAGCTGTTGTGGGTTTGGCCCCAGACCACCACAGTAAAGAGTGTCACAAATAGCCAGATATAATTAGTCTTCTTGCTGGTGAAGGGCCTTGAGCAAATAGTTTATATTTATGGAACATAGAGATTTATATGTAGCCAATAATTTGAAAATTATTGGAAAAAATACAGCATCTGTGAAGTGCAACAAAGTGAAGGCTAGCAAGATGAGGCATGCCTGCACTGTTACAACTGGTTGAGTGGGGGTGGAGTATTATGAACTTGATATGTGGTAAGCTCTTAATAAATCGTATTAATAATAGTAGAAGTAGCAGTAGTAGCTGTAATATAGTTTCTAAAATGTATAAGTGTACAGGTTAAAGTAGAAGCCATTTCTTACACCATTCAGTCTCTTTCACACACACACACACACATACACACACAGAGGCCTCACTTTGTAATCACAGAAGAAACTAAAATCTGAATAATAGGATTTTTTTTACAAACTAATAGTATATAGGCTATTAGTCTATAAACAGACTAATAATAGGTATAAACTTTATACCATTAAAAGTTAAGTACCATTTAAAGATTATGGTTCCTGAGAATAAATAGATACCCATTTTTACTTTGGGGATTAATAATGGTTGAAGAAAGTTCATTTTTCTTAATCATCATCACCTTAAAAACTAAGGTCTTGGTACCTGAATGCACACAGTTAGCAATAGATTTTTGCATACTAGCTGGATTTTGTACCCTAGCTATTACACAACAGAAATCTAAAGAGCAAATGTCACAGCCCCAAAGTTATAAAGCTTCATCAAATTCAGTTTTTATGAGTTTATAATTGTGTAATTTAAGAAGTTTTCAGGGATAATGACTTTATCAGAGTTGGTGATAACTTTTTAAAACAAATTATTACTAGCCTCTATTTCCTCTGTTTTTAAAATTTCTTCATTTTATTGTTTATGAAAGTAGTGTTAGTATGTTAGAAAATTGAGAAAATGTAGAAAAGTAAAGGAAGAAAACTTACATTAACAAGTGCATCAGGACTCATTGAACAAGGTGTAGCCAAAGCTTTAAATGGATTGCCCTATTAGAATATTATTATCTTTTTCATTTTTTATTGTGTTTTTCCCTTCACCGTCTATCCTCCTCATATCCTCTTTCACCTCCACCCACCCAACCCCCCTACAGTCACTGCACTGTTGTCCATGAAAATTAATTTCTTTGAAGAGCATTTTCATTTCCATGTTCAAACTTTTTGGTAATTGTTTTTAAAAAATAATATCCTTCGAGTTTACTTGTGCAAGTTTAAATGAAAAGAAACTTTGAAATTTTGTGAAGGAAGTGGAGTTTTATAGTTAGAGCATTTTGTTTTTCCTCTCAGAGAAAATGCCCCAAAGGGTAACCCAGTGTATTGGTTGTCTGTCATTTAGAAGGTGGTAAGACATGTTTTATCTAGATCCTTGCAGTTTACTAACAGTGGGTGGTGCCCATGGTTACCTCCTCTGAAGCTCAATCCCAGCTCTCAGTGGGAAGGGCTATGAACGGCTGATACAAAACCAGGCCTATAATTTTAAAAGCCAGCAAAAGGAAACTGTGTTCACTGAGTGAGATGACATAATCCCATGTGTAATGCCTACATCTACCTTAGTTTCTCCTGAATGATATTCAGAGTAGAAAAATATGTTAACCCCCTGAGCTTACATGTTATCAGGTGGCTTTCTATTGAACTGGGGTAGTGAGACAGTGAAATTGCTTATGTGAGCACGGTCACTGACCTACAGCATCCTTAAGCACATCCCTAGAATTAAGTTGCTTCAATGTCCACTAAGCTATTTTAAATTCTGGGGCAGAATCCATAGTATTTTAAAGCTGGCTAAGGCTTAAGAAAGGCAGTTAGTTCAGTCTCAGAGCAGCTTAGCAAATGTACCCAAAGGCACCCTGTAGAGGAATGACAGGGCTGCCCTGGAAGCCAGCCCAGGACTCTCAGTTCACTGCTCTTCCACTGTGGCCGTTCATGCTGATGCGTACCTGTTATACAAGGATGCTCATGTATCACTGCTTCTTCAGGTGTTCACATTAAACAGGTAGGGTCAAAACTATGAACTTTTCTTTAAGAATTCCTCACGTGAAACTTTTAAAA